GAAGGACGTTAACTAGTGGCATGTCAAAAGACAATGAAGAAGAAGTTCTGAGCTGAGTTAGTTATAGACTACTCAGGCGATATCTGTACCAACTTACCAACCGAATAAACCCCATTTTATTGTTACTTGTTATTTGGCGATTGTCTTTATTAACCCCAAATTAACATCATAACAATTATTCATTGATCGAACAAGCGACTGTCGATTGAAATATATAAAATCTTTCACCTAAAACAGTTTCTTTTAGGAAAGTAAGCTTCTCAGTCCACTAGTATCGATCTTTCTAGTAGTGTAGGATTTTCTACAGTAAGGTTTCCTTCCAAACCTTTTCTTTTTAAGATAATGTGGAAAGGCAATATATTCGTTATATTATTGTTTGCCCTTTTTGCTACATGTGCTGTTCATGTTTGTGGTTGCTGCTGCTGAAAATCCTTAAATTACGGAGAAAAACTGAAAGTCGAAATAAAGACATTAGCAGCAACCACTAAATTAAGATTTATCTCACATATGTTATTTGCATAACGCTAAAAGCATTATTTAGATAGAATAAGCGCACTATATATTCGAGTGAGCTGAAAGATTGCAGAGAAAGACTAGATTGTGAAACATTGCGATAGGCTTTAATAGCACTATTATTATTATGAAATGGACAAAGTCCGACAATTATTTTAAGACATTTTTTATCTATAAAAAGGAATGTATAAACATAAAAAAAATGTCTTAAAATAATTTTCGAACTTTGTGCATTTCATAATGTGTTGCGTCTTTTGTTTACATTTGGTTACGCATCGATCAGATATGAATATACGTAATAAAATAATGAAAAATTGTAGTTTAAAAACAGTAAAATCGACTTTGCTAATCGAAACGCTCCCCTGTGGCTCAATGGGTAAAAACACGTCAGGCTCTATGATTGTTCTATATAGGATACAGGTTCGATTCCTGTCGGAGGACGCATATTTTCTATGATAATAAAAAGAATGTATAAACATAAAAATGTCTTAAAATAATTGTCGGACTTTGTCCATTTCATAATGTGTGACGTCGTTTGTTTACATTTGGATACGCTTTGAGCAGATATGAATGTACGTGAGAGATTCATGGAAGATTGAAGTTTAAAAGCAGTAAAATCGACTTTGCTAATAGAACGATCCTCTGTGGCTCGATAGGTTTAGGCACGTCAGGCTAAATGACGATTCCGTATAGGATACAGGTTCGATTCCTGTCGGAGGACGAATATTTTCTATGAAAATTTCTCGAACATTCAGACCGGTAAATGTTATCAATACTGTTTATTATAAAACAGAGCATTTACTTAAATATTTGTATTTCACACACACACACACAGGCCTGTCGTCTCTGAGTGTTGACTTCAATGTTTACTTTTATATTTATATTTACATACACTCTATCTCTGATATTGAGCACTTTATCCCATAAATATAGCACACCTTACAACTATATTTCTTCATATATATATATATATATATATATATATATGTGTGTGTGTGTGTGTGTGTGTGTGTATTTGTGTGTGTATTTATAGATAGATAGATAGATAGATAGATAGATAGATATGCGGTTGCATGGAGAGTTGTTTATGACATTCTTTGAAGATCACCAAAGCGTGAAACGTAAGGTCATAAACAACACTCCATGCAACCACATATATTATCTCTGTCACAGATATTTAGCACATTCCACTAAATACCGCATATATATATATATATATATATATATATATATATATATATATATATATATATATTCAACACTATATTGTGACTGTCAGGTTCATTCAAAAATGACGCTATGATCTTTTGGGAACTGAAACTGATAAACCTCATGTAGTATTGATATATTAACCACAGGCTTACGGTCATAATCACGTTAAGTAACTTCAAGGTTGGTCACTAAGTAGATGGGGGACCGCTTGGGAATACCAGTTACTGTAATCTTTGATGTGCGGGTGATGTAATGGATGACAGCTAGGAACTGGAAATCAGAGAACCATGTTTCAATTCGAGTTAATTATAGTCACTCCCACGCAAATGACATTCGAAAAGGTATGAATCCACCTCCTTCTCTCAGCAATGTGTTACATAGCAGAACTTGTCTCAGTAAAAAAGTTTCTTACAATCTAAAATATTTTCTAGTTTTAAATAAAGCCAAAAAAGCCAGAAATTATGACATAAAAGGAAACACAACAAAGGAATCTTGATTAGAGGGCAGAATTAGGGTACCTCGAACCAGTGTTATCCAGGGGTGATATCTGGCTAAGACCTAGCACCTGTTTGCTCCCCTACTAGAGTTACGGTATTTAGATTTTTTTTTGCTTTGTTTTTTGTTTACATTTTCTTTTAGATGTGTATGTTGGTATGTGTTTGTGGCAGCCTTGAGATGTGTATGCTTGTGTGTAACTCATAGAGACGGAGGGTCAGGGGTGAAAAAATAGGAAGGAGGAAATGGAAATATTTTTTTTCTTTTCCTTCGGCTGATGAAAGAAAATGGGAATAAATGTAAGCAGAACATGATGCTTGAACTCGTTCCTCTGTGTGTGTGTGTGTGTGTGTGTGTGTGTGTGTGTGTGTGTGTGTGTGTGTGTGTGTGTATCTCTCAGTGAGGTGAATCAAATCCGTACTTACCACTTCAAGCCAAGCAGGTCGGCATATTTCTGATCAGGTAGAAATTGTGGCTGTGTTTGTTTTCTTTTTTTAGGGAAAAGCGCACATTGCTGGTGGACCGGAAGTCATCCGACCGGGTTAGGGTTATGTTTAGGGATTGGGCAATAAATTGCCTAGAGGAGTCGCATGGTGTGTAGTTAAGATGGAAAAAATTGTAGCTGACGGAAGGTACATAAGTCGATACCCGATCAGTATCGTCTGGGTCACCGGGGAGAGGGGGTATGATGTCGAAAGTCCCGGAACCCCTAATAAACCTCGACTAGAAACATCACTGACGATGTGTACTAAAGCATCAAATAGATGTATTTTACGAACCCACAAAAGGTTGATAAGCCGTAAAATATAAAAAATCAATTAACTGTTGTCTATACTAAGTATACTTGGCACACGATTATATCAAATTCTCATCTGTTGTTCACACCAAATATATCAATTACTTATAAGTATTTCTTATTTAAACCGAATGTTAAATGCTTGAACTAAGAATAAATTCTGATGTTATCATGTTTGGTTTCATATATATTAGAGTATCTGTCTATATTTCTGAGATGAGGTATTATGTACACTGTTTGCATTATTCGGACTATTGTCCTCATCTTTGTCGCCATATTTATTACAACGTTTCGGCCTTTCATTATCTGTCTATATTTCTGAGATGAGGTATTATGTACACTATTTACATTACTCGGACTATTGCCATATTTATCACAACGTTTTGGCCGTTGTACGCTCCGGCATTCTTCAGGTGGGTGGAATGTCGAACTGAACACTTTATTTCACTCGACTTCGCTAAACTGTTCTAGTTCCACGTACCACGTGTAATGGATGTCATTTATCAGTTATCTCCTGTTAATTCACCTCTCCAAGTTCTCCACTGCCTTAACCAGGTATTGAAATCATAACTCTTTGGGTCATGTAAGTGGATCTAAGCGACGCCTTTATCTACTGGGAAACATGTCCTTAAGGACATATGTGTATGAATTTCTGGGTACTATAAACTTAATGTCTTCAGCAATCATTTTTACCAGTGCTCATATTGTAATTTTTGCTGTTACCATTGCTTGTTTTTTTAACAGAGCTAATGTTGCATTTTTTTGTTATTATCGCTTTTCTCTGGTACTCCTTATTACTGGTTCCCATATTGTATTCATTTCTATGCTTGGTCGGCTCAGGAGATTTTTGTGGCGTAGCATATGTGCTAATTCCTTAAGATTAAAGTATTAATTGACTCTTCCTAGCATTTGGGTAATCAAGTTACGTTCTCTTGAGTTATGTCATATTGTTGTCTATTGTCAATCTGTCAGGTAGCATTGTCGAAACGCCATTTCTCTATGAGATTGATATTAATTAGTACAGTACGAATTTCGAAGACTGACCCTAGCTATGACCGACACGCTACGTTCGATCGAAGCCATGATTGACCATTGATTAAAAGACTGTATGAATTAAAATCTAAATTATCTTTCAATTAATAATTTGGAAGCATTTTAATGATTTTAGTTCATAATTTTAAATATTTTAAGAGATATCAAATGAACTTGCATGGAGTATTGTTGCCATATATGGTATGGAGCCCCTTCTGTTTGCCTCGAGGTTATTGATAAGATCCAGAGACGGATATGCAATATAATTGGCCCTGATCTGGCATCTCGTCTGCAGTCGCTCTCTCACAGACGTACCGTCGCCTCTCTTTGTCTTTTTTACAAATACTTTCATGGTAATTTCTCCGATGAGCTGCTTTCTCTGGTTCCAAGACTCCATGAATTCAAGCGTCCTACGAGGCTGGCATCCCGTTCTCACCCTTTCACTGTTGAAACTGTTAAATGTAGCCGTCTCTTCTACTCCAATAGCTTCATATCTCGCACCTCTCACCTGTGGAACTCCCTTCCCTATTCCTGTTTCTCTGATAGCTATAATCTCCAACTATTCAAATGTCCATCGACATCTCCAGTTGTCTTGATCTATCCACTATCCTTCTCCTCATCCTTTCCTCTATCACTCCTATCTGATCTCGCTACTCTGTAACCCATTGCATGCTAGTGGCTTCCCGCCTTTCTTGGCGTGAAATGCTTAAGAAAAAAAATGGGGGAATGTACTCTTCGAAAAATACTATTTCATTTCGTGAAGTGATTAAGCTTAAATAGAATGCAACTTTCTTTTCACCCAATTTTTTATAATTTAAGCTTTTCAGGGATTCCATTGATGATAATATCTGAGTTTATTCTAGGTTAACATATCATACAGGATTTCTGCGCTCAGGGTAATTATCCCTCTTCAAGCGTCAGTGATTTCTGGTGGATAAATTATAAATATTACCTTTTTGTTGGTAACATCCTGTAACAACTGCAACAGACTCTGTTGTCGGAAGAATAACAAGAGATGTTGTGTTTAACACACTCCACGTCGTGGGCTCATATGTAGGTGTGATCGACTGAATACTTTCTGATGATATTGACTCGAATGTTGAGTCTAACATATCCGACGTCGAGGGCTCAAATATGGTTGATACTGCCTCACTAATTTCTGATGACGTTGAATTAACTGTTCCGTTTAACATATCCAGCGTTGAGGGCTCCATTGTCGTTGATATCGTTTGACTATTTGCTGGTGACGTTGACTTGAATGTTGACAAAACTGGCGTAATTGTAATGTGTGTAGATGTTTCTTGGTAGGTCGTCGTATCGTCCATTCCTGAGGAGAACATGGTGGTTTGGCTGTCTTCGTTGACAGCCAAGGTAAATTCTGAAATGATAAAAAAAATTCATGTGAAAGTATTGGTATAGAAAGTACCACTGGCTAACTATAAAGTCACCATCATTGGCGATGGGGACATTTTTTATTTAATAGTTAAAAAACATTCAGGTAACAGGGAATAAGCGTGACTGGACTCAAAGAGAGGTATTTTCTGAAAATAATCCATTCTTAGACTCTGACACAAGTCGTTCTTCCTGGGTAAGACGTTAAACTACATCCGCGACCTGGGTAAGACGTTAAAGTACATACGCGTCCTAGGTAAGACGTTAAACTACGTCCAGCGGCAAGGCCTCTGATCAGGAGGTTTTGAGGAGCGTGGAACCACCTCTTAATTGCTGGTGTTCCCAGGTTCACCCTGATCCGGGGTGGTAGCACCTGTTAGGATCCCAGCTCTGGGCAAATAGTTAACCATTACCAGCAATACTTTTTGAAAAAAAATTATTACCAGCAATACAATTTTGAAGGAAATATATTACCAGAAACAGATTTTTGACAAAAGAGAATATTAACAGCGATAAAAATTTTTGTCAGCATTAAATAACCCATTGAGGTTGATATGCCGTTAAATAAAATAAACCAAACCAAACCAAACATAAGTCGTAATTGTAAAGAAAAACTGTGATATTTTCTGAAAATAATAAGTAATAATCACAATTATGAACTATATATATATAATATATATACTTCATGCACTGTAGCTGTGCACCAGTGGGAGTGTCTAAGGCATTACTCAATCAATCAATCTGTACCCACCAAACTGTCTGTGGCATATACTGAATGTTCTTTGCACATGATTATATAAAAATTTTATTTTTTGTTCACGCCAAATATATCGATTACTTGCAAGTTTTTCTTATTGTTGTAGAACACCTACGGACGATAATGGGCATGCCTCCATTCACACAAATCAATTAGTAGATACTGTATGTTGGTCTGCAGTTGAAGATATGTCTCCATCTGTGCTGTTCAAACTCTCTGCCTCCGGGCAGAGAGGATCCCCAGATAGGGATATGTCGAATGGCAGCTACCCGACCCCGTTTTATACGGGATATACGGGGAATTTTTGTCCGGGCCTTCTGGATCAGCTGCCCCACATTAAATTCGGCCTTGTTCCACATCTGATCGCGTAGAGCAGTTGGTAGATATCCAGCAGTTGGAGATTCATTGTGGAATTCACTTGACTAAATTCTAGCAGTTGACTACTTCTTCTACGCGCCGCTGGCGAATCTTATATGTGTTGTTCTTGTCTTAAGAATTATCGTTCATTACCAACCTTCGAGTGATTATTCTAGTCATTAACCTTTCCTATTTAGACTGAATGTTAAATGCTGGAACTAAGAATAAAGTCTGCTGTTATCATGGTATCATTGTGAATCTTATTTCATATAGATTAGAGTACTAAAATTGACTCTTCGTAGCATTTGGGTAATTGAGTTACATTTGCTTGAGTTATGCCTTATTGTTGTCTATTTTATGGTCAATCTGTCAGCGTCCATAGTCAAAACTCTATTTCTCTACGGAGTTTATATTCTGGCATACAGTTCTTTTGTGATTCTATCCTCGAATTACCCTAGCTATAACTCGAACTCACTACTCAGTCGTAATTGTTTTAGCAAGACAAGTTTGCTAACCGTTACACCGCCACGAGGTGCTCGTGGTGATTTTCAAACCTAGCTTAGATGTAGCACAAGGCCGAAAGTAGGGGGCATCCAGTCAGGATCGAACTCACTACATAGTCATAATTGTTCTAGAAGCGCTGGAGTTTATATATGAATTCCACAGATGCTCAAAGCAACACTTTGAGAGGACAACCATTTTAGGGACAGCTCGGTAATGATGCAGTTATAATAATTTGAATTTTAAACTATTGAAAGTTACAAACCATTTTTCCCAATTGAGCTAGTAGAGCTAAATAAGAGGGGAGATCAACATCTACATTTTGGGATGTCGACTTATACACTGGTATCCACCTAGATATTTCTTGACGATTTAAATGTGTTCTTAAGCAGATCTTTAATATTGAAATATAAAGAGCTTATGACCGATTAGTCTACCTTGTAGGACGCCTGTGTTGATCTGACAGGCTTCAGAAACCTGATTATTGACATCGACCTTCAAGCACCAACCAGGTAGGATGGTATTCTCGGTTACAAGTACTCTGCCTGATATTCTATAGCTGGAGAGCTTGCTTTGCAACCTCCTATGCCATACGGAGTTTCTGTTATGTCGTACAGTTTTTTTGTGATTCTGCCCTCGAATTTTGAAGAAAAATGACCCTAGCTATGACCGAAATGCTACGGCCGCTCGAAACCATGTTTAACCATTAATCAATAGACTGTATCAATTAAAATCTATCATCATTTGTCGGGGTTATTTGAATTGAAGAGTTTCATTTTTTTTTCTAGACTGTTTGCTCTTCCAAATGCGCTCGGGCTGTCCGGTTATTTAACCTATATCTGGAGAAACATAGGTTTATGTCTTTTACCTGTTTTTTAGTGCGGAGTGAATGAAATATCCGGTTTCATTGACAACGATCTTCAAGCTGAGAGTACAGTATTCTTGGTTACAAGCATTCTGGCTGATATTTCTATAGGTGGAGAGCTTGTTTTGCAACACCCTATGTCACACCATGTCAAAGGTATTTGAAATATCTGCAGGTTTTTTAGTTTTTGCAGACTCTTGAACCCCCCCACCCCCGGAGACCTAGTCGATAAGGCAGTTTTTAAGACAAGAATTCAGTAGAAAAAAAAGTGATATGAATTAGATTCTTGCTTGCCTGGTGCTTATTTTTTCATTTCTGATCGGCGATGCTTACCGAAGGTCGTAGAATGACGGTCGGAGAAGGATCGCGTGGTTGAGACTGAAATTGATATTAAAGAAAATTGAAAGCCGACTTCTTTTTTATATGTGAAGTTAACTTTTTTTTGCTACGATTACTGTACATATATATATATATATATATATATATATATATATATATATATATTGTCATGGGTCCTTACCAATAACTACAGAATTAACTCTTCCTAACACTATGTATACTACGCCTCTCAAGAGAGACGGTCGAATCGAGTCGGGCCGATAGTAGTTCACTCCAAACCAGACTGACAGTCATACTAACACCTTCCATATCTTGTATTATTATTTCGTGTAATATACCTTCGTTATTTCTACTCTTGTGTTTGTGCTGTTCTTCCTTGGTCCTAACCTGGACCACAACAGTGGCGACGAGGATCTTGAAAAAAAAGTTCTACGAGAAGATAAAAGATAAAAAAAAACCTTTTGGGCACCAACCATAACAGTGGTAACGGAGACACGAATTTTACCTGTCAGCCAGAATAGAATCGAATTCTACACAGGAAAATTTTTCGTACCAAGATTCTAGAACAACAGACGACAAAGACCTGAAGTCTACACTGAGAAAAAACGGAAAAATCGTTACACAATTGCACAACTTTAGCTACAAAGTACATATTGCAAAAAGAAAGAGTAAGGGGAAAAAGTGAGTTTTTTCGTCCTCTACTCGTGACAACATATAGTCTGTATTATTATTAAATTACGGTGTAAACATGGAAGACTCTAAGGCAACCATATTGGAACTAATGAAAATGCAATTCGAGCAGCAAAAATGAGGAAAGCCATACTAGGCACAAAGACAAACAATTCGAAATTCTACAGAAAAACGAAGAAAAACAACTCGAACTACAAGAATTACTACTATGGGCAGTAACAAATAAAGGACAAAATTCTGAAAGTGAAGCGGCATTCTCACAAGATTCTATATGGAGCTCAATCAATGACTTCATTTATGCACCGGACGAAGACAAAATCTTCGCGGCTTACTTCAGAAGATATGAAGATTCATATGAGTTTGATTGTGGGAATTGGTCAGACGCGAAAAAATTACGTCTACTACTTAGGAAACGAGAGTCAAGCGAATACACTAAGTTCGTAGACTACATTTTTCCAAGGAAAACGAATGAGTTGACTTTCAGGAAAGCTGTGAAACTTTTAACGGAATTATTTAGTTCGAACACTTCACTATTCCACAAAAGGTGGAAATGTTTAAATTTAACAAAAAAGGATTGCGAAGACTATATAACATTCGCTTCCGTAGTAAACAAACACTGCGATGACTTTAAGTTATCTGAACTCAGCCCTGACAATTTTAAAAGTTTGATATTCATCCAAGGTCTGGTTTCGACTAAAGATGCGGAGATCAGACGGAGAATTCTAACAAAACTGGAGAGTGAACCAAAACTGGAGAGTGAACCAAAACTGACGCTACAAAAAGTGGCTGGGGACTGTCAGAGATGTATAAGCGTAAAAAAAAAGACTCGAAATATATCGAAGAGACTGGCATCGCTCACATACGAAAAGTACAACGACAAACACGTTTTTCTCCCTCCTCAAAAACAAACCAAACCAATTATTTTACTACAAAAAGTCAAATGAAACCTCAGAAGAAACCACCACCCAGTCCATGCTATCGCTATGGGACTTTACATTGGTACAAATATTGTCCATACCGGTATAAGACTTGTCTGTCGTGAAATAAAGTGGGACATAAAAGTTCGTACTGTAGAACCAAGAAAGAGAACTAAAGCCGATTAAGTGTCACTAGAACTGACCAAGAGGACGGGATAAATATACGAAAATACGTACAAGTTGAAATGTTAAACAACAAAATCAGATTACAATTAGATTCTGGATCATATTTAA